CTGGCTCGCACATGCGTCATGTGCTGCCCATCGTGGCTGTTCGATTGGCACACAGAAAACTGTGTCTCGTTTCCGATGCCATGAAACTATACTATGGACCGTTATTCGAAATGATTGCTGAGATGTAATTTCACCAGCTTGTTAACTGAATTTTTTATTTCTTGAAAGTTAATTTTGATCCTTTTATATATTATTGTTTCATTTTAATAACTTGGTGTGTAACTGTGTATTGGAGGTGTGTATATCAAATGATTCATCTCGCTAACACTAACAACTTAAAAAGCCTTTAGATAAAGTAGTCATCCAACACTGTGCATCCACGTTATAGTAATACTGACGCAGACGCGAAATGTATAGACAAGTACCTGTTAATATATATTGCCTGCTTAAAATCTTGAGATGCTTGGATCATAGTCAATAAAGACTCTCGTTGTAGCCAGATACTATTTTTATCAAGCATTATACTTACAGGTGTGATATCGAGTTTGAATTTAGTGTTGATAGTTAGAAAGTCTATCCAACATATATGTCTTTATTGTTGAGATGTAGGAAAAGAGACAAAATATCGTTATGCTAACACGAACTGACGTTTTCCTATTAATAATATGCTTGAGGATCTTGAGAAAGTAGTCTAATCAATTGCATTTTTACTATGGTTCTCAAACAGATGTAAAAATCAACAAGAAAATAACTGAAATGGTGACATCATCAATGGAGAACTTAACTTGATGTGGCTGATTCTGGAATTTGAAAATGCATGAAATATACTTAAAAGTTGCTCTTGTAGAGAGGTCTGTTATTCATAGGTAAAATTGAAGGAATTTACTAAATTCACAAATGATCTTCGATTGCAATGATTTACAGGTCAGGGGCGCGAAGCACCTAGATCCTATTACCAGAACCAGAGGATGGTTCCTAGGATGCCATCGGAGAGACAAGGTGGGGTAGATCCTAGGTCTCTGTCCCATGAAGATGACATGGATTTAGGCTATGAAGATAATCGTTCAGCGCAGACTTTCGAAAATCTCGAGCAGAGATTTCTTGAAGATATCATGAAACTCAGCAAAGAACAAACCGATGCAGAGGACGCCGAAAATGTTAGGCACAGGGAGGTTCGGTTTCTCACCCCTCCAAATGTGTGTGTGTGTGTGTGTGTATTTTAATGTAATGTTGTGTTTTGCAGAGAATAAACACGATCAGCACGCAATACGAGGAGCAGTTATACGCCCTACGGGCCCGCCACGCGAGTCGAAGAGACGAGTTCCTAAGGAGAGAATCTCAAGCAAGGCACGAGCAATACCAGCAGATTATTGTTGAAAACGACCCTCGAAGTTTCAATGCCAATAATGCCCCCGACTCATACGGCACTCACAGAGACCGTGCTCGATTTTCTGGCAACGGTGGTGGGGACCACCACCAGGGGTACGAGGGTAAAGTGCCTTACCCTAGGGGCCGTTCGTATGATACGGGTTCGCGGTACTATTGATTTTTATAGACTATTTTGTAGCATTAGATTTTCTACTTAAAATCTGCTTCTTTTTTTTTTTTTTTTGAGAAAGTTAATATATGTTTGTAATGTGATTTATAATTTCCAGCTATGAATTGTCTGTAAACCGGGTATGAAATTAATTGGGCCATGGATTATATTATCCGGGTAGGATTCGGGTCGTTTGATTTTGTGGTATGGATTAATTTTATTGGATACAGTGGAGTTTCCTAATTTGACAAATTGCTGACTAAGTTGTTACAAAGGAATGTTACACAAAAATTATCCATAAGCTGGATTATATTTATTTAAAAAATAACAATAATGAAATATTTGATTTTGCAAATAACAAATTTATTCATTTTTTTCAAATAAACTTTTGTTTTGGAGGTGAAATTTTGACTGGGCATTTTCGTTAATACATCTTGGAATTTAATAATCTCGTCAGATCAGATCGGACGTTAGTAATTAGACAGTGCAGCACCAGCAAAGCACCTTTCAACCCCA